CCCGTTTATCCCCTGTAAATTTTAGATTCCATTTATGTGGTAAGATCGGCTTGATACCATGTCCCAGTGAACCTGTTGAGGCAGCACTCGCCATTTGTCCTTGTGCTGCTGCAGGAGGACTGTTCGGTCGTGTTGATTGGGCCACCGAGTGTGGGTTCACAGGTTGTACTGGGGAGGAACAGGATAAAGGCTGCATTATGCTTCCTTGGAGAACACACAAATTAGGTGGTGGTTGATTTCGACCACCACCCACTGGGTCCACGACATTGCCATTTAATGCATCAATCAATGATAACGTTTGAGCAACTAGCTCTGCTCTCACTTTCGCCTCTTCCATCGTTTTAGCTACCATGTTGTCTATCCTTCCTAAGACGTGGTTGAGTTTTGTCTGTAGTTTTAGGAATGTCGGGCTTTTGGGTGTGTCGGCAAAGCTGTCTACTGCAATCACGATGTTGTCCAATTTAGCAGCAACGGCAGCTATATCATCTTGAAATGAATAGGGGTAGTCTGGGTAGTGAAGGCTGTCTCCAGATTTTTCCAAATTCCTAGCTAGAGTCAGCCGACTTCGCATTTCTTCAACAGTTCCCACAGCAATGCCCCGCCATGTCAACTCGTAGGCCAGTTCATCTTTATCCAGACGATTTATTTCCATCTTTCTAGACATCCTGAGTTCTTCTTATTCAAATAAAGTCCTGAAACTGCACTATCTATCACACTATATAACACTTCACATAAAATAATTCTACACTTCACTGTAATACAATAACAAGCACCACAGTATCTTCCAGTAACTACACCACTCCCCACTTGCACTAAAAAAAAATTACTAGATGCCAAAGCAGAACCGATCAACAGTGTGCTTTTCAAACAAAATTAAATCTTCAAAGTATAGACACCTTGTTTATTCAAGCAACCTTAGCACCCTCCTACCATAAGCCAGTCTCATAGAATGCAACTTAAAGCTCAAACAACAGCTAAAACCCGACTGAAGCAGTTGCAGAAAAAAAAATAAAGTACCACCAAAGGAATATGTAAAGCAAAATCACGTTGGGCGCCAAATTGTGGCGTTAATTTCCAAAGAAGGCAAGCAAATTCATATATGGAACTCTTGTCTGGTTATAGCTATGTGAAAGTGGTACCCGGCAGCTTTGAAACAGTGGAGAAGGCGTGGTTCGAAGCTGTCTAAAATTTATAAGGCGCCACGTAATTAAACCACTAGTCACCTAATTTAGATCGTAAACCTTGACCAGAAACCCACACTAATCACGAATTGTTGGTTCCTGAACCAAACCCAAGAGAGTCAATGACTGGCTTATCCTTGCATACACCATCTGAAATTACTGACAGCTTGGCGGAGGGGAAGGTGCAAATAAACAGGCAGAATATCGGTATCAAAATTTAGGAATGTGTATTAATTAATGTAATAATTATTGTATTATTAACACAGTTGAATTATCACAGTTGATTCTAGAACCTCTATAATTTCACCACCAGTGTCATCAGGCTACTGGTTGTCATCCACAATTCAGTATAATGAATTAATACAAAAAAAATAAATAAATATGAAATGTTTCGAGCTATGTACTTACTCTTGAGAACAAGGCCAGCGAACATTTACTAGCATGAACAGTATGGATGTATTTGTAATAAATCAAAATAATTGAACAGCCTGCTCCATGTTCTCAATAGCAATCAGATTAAATTCATCCTAAAATTACCAATATTACCACACACTTGTGATTCGAATAAAATATTAAACCATACGCGCAGATCGATCTTATGACGTCATAATACCTCGCACCATACGGTGTACAATAAGCTGGCAAAGCCAGTGAACTAAATGCCCAAATATAATATTGGTGAGTGACCGCACAATAATAATATTCAATTAAAAGGGTGGTGGTGAAGTAGGTAAAATAATTTAAAAATATTCAATTGAACGTAGGATGGCGTAGGCAAAATTATTATAAAAAAAATATTCAAATAAAAGTATGATGATGTAGATAAAATATTAAGAAAATATTCCATTAATAAAACATTATGAAAATATTCAATTAAAAAAAAATAGGATGACGTGGGTAAAATTATTATAAAAAAATATTCAAATAAAAGTATGATGATGTAGATAAAATATTAAGAAAATATTCCATTAATAAAACATTATGAAAATATTCAATAAAAAAAATAGGATGACGTAGGCAAAATTATTAAAAAAAAATATTCAAATAAAAGTATGATGAGGTAGATAAAATATTAAGAAAATGTTCCAATAAAACTTAGCTGAGCTCCAGTAGCTGACAACAAGCTCTACGTGGTGGTTGGTGATGAAAAGCTGGTTGGTATTAGCAAGTGGTGAGCCCTTTGCTGGAGAGGTGGAGTGCCTTGATGCCAAAGGTTAGGCCCCAACCCCCAAAAGAGTGGTGCAATTTGATTCAGACCCGTACAAAAAACCCTAAATAGAGACAGGAATCAGTCCCCACATTCTTGATACCAATTTTTCCCCAATAAAACCCCTAAAAAAATAAAAATAATTACCTCTGGCGAGGGTTTTCCTATAGAAAGGCCTGGACTGCCCTCTGTAGCCTGCAACGAGCCGGTGATGGACGGATTCGGCCGCAAACATGCACGACAGGAACTGAGGTCAAACCTCTAGGACAACCAATCAACCAATCCTTAATATAAAAAAAAATGCATGAGCTCCAACAGCTCTTTTCCCAATAGGAAAAAAAAGAAAAATTCAAACAAATAATATCAAGCTCACCAGTGATTAATTCCCAGGACTTGTAGATGAGCCAGTTCAGCAGCAGTTAGGGGTGCTACCAAGGTGTTGGGTGGAGCACAACGTGGTCGGTGGTGGTGAAGTAGTCGTTTTATCCCCAAAACGGGTGCGAAATTCCTCCAACTAATCTTCCAAAAATCGATGAGAAACTTTTTCGCCAGCCAGGGCGGATCCTTTAATCCTCAATGGGAAACCAAGTTCCTAGGTTCCAGACAAAGCCTTCTGAAATTGGATGTGCCCTTAGACGTACTTGCACTCACCACAATGCTGCTGAACTTAAACTGAACTGCCCTTACCAAGACTGGCCAGCAGGTAACATGGCGACCGGAAATCCCCTCCGAAAATTTGTGTCAAATCACGTCCAGAAAATTCTAGAAAAATTACCACGAGGAACTCATTTCCGGCAGAACGGCAACAATGCCACTCGATCACAATTAGACGCTCCGAGTGCTCGCAACCAAAATTTCACAAGAAAAGTGCACGAATGAAACCGCTACACAACTCAGAACAGCTGAACAAATGACGACCGGCACCGCTGTACCGAGATCGCTCTGACGCGGTTGAATGCGCTCCTGACCTGGTTCTGGTTACTGTACTGTTGCTCCAAACGATCGCACCCACGGGTCAATAAAACAGCTGATGTGCAGAGGTGAATGACATTTAGAGAAAACCAATAACAATAATATTGCAAGGATTAAAAGAATTATTGGACTATTTGTTAATTTATTTATTTTAGGGGAAGAAAAACCGAAGCCGGAATGATTCTGATGTTTTATTCCCTCGAGGTGACGTATCCTAGTGTTCTAAGTGTTTAAATTCCATACGGCCTTCCATATAATGTCCTGCATCTAAATATTCCCGTTACAGCAGTAGAGGTGACCATTCCTTTGATGTTGACGTCCTGCACACTTATCTGTACAATTCTTTTTGAAAGCCGGCAAGGCTCTCAGTTTTTTTCTAGTTGGTCCCAACGCTGAGATATTGACCAAAGTCTGTTTTTTTTCAATAGGACAACCTATGTACTATATTAATAGCTCATTGGAAAACTCTGCTTTTTCTGATTTCGATGATAAAAAGTTCGATAGGTTTATCTCTAATAGTTTTCGAGAAAAATAGTTATTTATACAATAAGTGTGTAAAGTGAAAAAAGGTGCTTTACGCACGTATTGCATACAAATTTTTTTCTACTACCAATCAAATATGTGTAAAAAAATTAATTTAGACAAATTCTTCACGCACTATTGCGTAAAGTATTTTCACTTTACGCACTAGTACGTGAAGTAATTTACCAGAAAAATAGTAATTTGACAAGTTGACATCTGTCATTGACATAACTTTACGCACTAGTGTGTGAAGTGAACTACTTTACGCACTAGTGTGTGAAGAGAAATTTTACGTCTTCTGAATAGCGCGTAAAGCGAGTACTTTACGCACGGTAGTAGAAAAAAATTATTTCGTTTTTTTCATAAGAAGCAATGTGTAAGAAAAGAACTTTATATCTGTAAGGAAACTGAGAAAGGTCTCTTTCCAACAACACATTGTTTCTTATGACAAAAACCGAAATATTTTTTTTTCTCGAAAACTGTTAGAGATAAACCTATCGAACTTTATATCATTGAAATCGGAAAAAGCAGAGCTTTCTAATGAGCTATTAATATATAGGGTGTCCTATTGAAAAAAACCAGACTTTGGTCAATATCTCGACGTTGGGACCAACTAGAAAAAAACTGAGAACGTCACTGAATTCTGCTTGAAAAAGTGCTTCAAGAAAGTTTTTACGGAAATCAATAATTTCCATAAACAAAAAAGTTATGATGGTTTCACATTATTGTTCAAAATCGAGAACCGCCCTCTAGCGGCTAAACGGTTGAAGATATCAAAATGCGGTTTGCACCAATCAAAATTTCATTAAAATTAAGCCTCTGAGTGGGGGGTTCATTTTTTTCTATCTCTAAATATAAAGGGTTTCCATAAGAAAGTGTCCAAATTGGTCCACCCTGTACATAAAAAATAATTACCACTCTCCATAGATGAGAGCAAAAATAAAAAAATATTGAGATATTCTGTTAAAGATTTTGATTTTAAAACAAATTGTCTGATCTGTGGTGAATCTATTTGTCACGAAAAAAAGAAAAAAAATCCCAAGCAATACAGACAAGAAATAAGGAATTGTTTTGAACTGAACATAAAAGAAAAATTGGTGAAAATATGCGAAAAAAGGATGGACGATATAGGCAGGCAAATAGTAGTTCGCTTGAGTAACATAATAGATTTGGTTGCTGTAGAGGGGATATATCATTTAATTTGTTATAAGAATTTAATGCGCGATACTCCAGGCTCTTCCAAAGATTCACAAGGAAAAGATGGAAGGCAATCTGCCTTTTTAAAATTGTGTAGCTATATGGAAAGCTCTGACGATTGTCAATTTTCACTTGGGAAGCTTGCTGAAAAATTTGAAGAATTTTGTGACACCAAAGAAAGTTATGTACGTAGATGGGTAAGAGAAAAACTGCAACGTCACTTTGGCGAAAAAATTACAGTTACTGGACTTCAAGCAAAAGATACTATTATCACATTACCCAAACTAAAAAAATGTTTAACTGCTCAAGAAATAAGTTATTTCGGACAGATCCCTATTAAATTGTATAAAAAAAGTAAATCAGGGATCGAAAAGGTGAAAGTAGCCAAAGTTTCGGTAGAAGCAACAGACTTAACTAAATCAAATGTTCTAAATTCGATAAAACTAGACATTTTGTGGGCCTCTGGGTATTGCCTAAGTAACTGCTCTACCCCGAATTGGAACGGATTCATGTCGTTAGTTCTAGAATGGACAAAACCATTTGAGAAGTCCAAAATAGTGACGTTACCATTCATAAACTTAAGTCCAAGTGATCTTTCTACCATATATACAGCCTTGGAATTTGCATTATCAGAGACCAGAAAAAGTCACCAACGGAGTTGTATAGTTACGTTCGACCAGCCACTATTCCAGAAAGCGTCAGAAATAGTGTACGCAGAGGAAATGCCTACAATTTTAAGACTGGGCGGCTTTCACCTGCTTATGTGTTTCATGCGTGTCGTGGGGTTTATTATGACAGGATCAGGATTGGAAGATTTGTGGACACAGATCTATGCTAGAGTAACTGTTTCTCATATGGTCATATGGTAGCAGGTCATGCCTATTCAAGAGCACACTTTCTAACTCACTGGGCGCTTACTATTTTGATAATGGATATATGTAGCGATCTTGACAAAACTTCCCTGAGCAATTTACATAAATATACCTTTAATAGAACTGTTTATTCAGATGACGTTGTCAGCTCGCATGTTTTAGAAAATGCATATGTAAATTTAAATATGTACTACAATTGAGAGTTTAAAACTTGAAAACAATATACCTCGAAACTATGGATACAGTACCACGAAATGGTCACTATAATGAAACTTTTTCTAAAAGCCGAACGTTCTGGGGATTGGGAAATGCACGTAGCAGCTGTAAAGATGATACTTCCATTTTTCCAAGCTGCAGGTCATTTTCATTAGGTACGCAAAGTCTGCTCACCTTTATATACAAAATATTGACAAACTAGAACAAAGTATGCTGCCTAGTGAACTTAAGCAGTTTTGTGACATAGGATATTTCACAATACGTCGCACCGACAAACTGGTCAGGTACTTGGAGTGACATATGCATGTATTTAATGAGATCAATGTAGACCTCGGATGGACTAACTCACGGAAAAGGAGTAAACGAGAGCTCTATAACAAAATGGACGCTTACTATGCCATACACCGCCGAAGCATGCGATGCTCTGAAGTTTTTTTGTGGTGTTCGTTCCGTTCAGTCTGAACAACATAGTTCAATATGTCGCGAATTGGCCGAGACAACAAAGACTTAGGTGAAGTTTTGGGATGGTTACAAAACCACAATCCTTTTGAAGACCATATTAGTCAGCTTTCATGCATAACCAATGGAGTTTTAGCAGAAGAAAATGTTAGCTGTCACGTGGCGAAGGAAATAGGAATAGAACTAGTAGAAGGTGAATGTGCCTGTTCATCGACCTGCTCTAGATCTCGACCATTCAGCTATTTAGGAGCCAATAATAAATAGAATAACCGGCAAACCTTGCTATGGAATGTTGAATTAGTTTTCGATCACTTTGACCCATTCAAAAAAGGCGGCATTACTGAAAAACTCGTATCAGTTTTCCCGCGAAAAATCAGTAAAGTCTTGCTTGTTGTACGGATAACCCACGTGTAATCTAAATTTGTTGCAGTGCTTAGTAGCATCGTATCTGAAAATAGTGAATAACTTATGTTTTATTTCAAACTAATAGATGAAATATTTTCTTTAGGGTAGAGGAAGGGTTAAATGTTGAAATTACCATGAAGAAACTGCATTTAATGATTTTTCTCGCGTTATTATTTGGTGGTCGAGAACCAGCTTTTAAAAATTAACGATTTTTGGTTTCCGACCGCCTTGGTCGAAAACCAAAATGCAGAAGCTATTACTTTTATTTGGAAAAATAAGTTAAAGAAGCAGCCGTATGAATAAAAATAGAGCATTTGCTTCTAAGCAAAAGGTATAAGTATAAGCAAAAGCTTCAAGTAAAAGGTAGAAGTAGAAGCATTTACTTCATATCATATGAATAATAAAAACCTTTTACTTTGCGAGCATATGCTTCAAAGAAATGAAGTAAAAGTAGTACCTGTTGTTTCAATCTAAGGCTCGAGTGCTAAAGGAAACCAACAGATCATATGATAACATCACTGGACTTTGACATTCCATATGAAGTGGTTGTAGAAAAACGGCAATCATGGATGGACGCAAAGTTACCGCAAGCGGACAACGCATCATTGTGGTACACAGATGGTTCGAAGCTAAAGGAAGGATTTGGACTGGGAATAACTAGACCAAACTTCAAACTCTCCTTAGCAATCGGTAAAACGCCCACAAAATTTGCCAAAGAGTATTTTAAAAAAGGCCTTTTGAGAGAGTACATTTATATACTTTCCGACAGTCAAGCGGCTCTAAAGGCACTAGGAGCCATCAAGCGCAATTCTCAACTAGTTTGTGAAGGTGAAAAATATCCTTGAACAACTGGCTGGGAGTTATAAAGTAACCCTGATGTGGGTACCAGGACATCAGGGCCGAGTTCAGAAATAACGCACAGGGTGCGAGTGCGATTTTATGGGTGTGCCTGAATTGACAATTGGCCATTAGGCCTATAGCACCGTCTAGCATTTTTAAACAGCTAGAGCGTCGCACCGGTGTCACACTCACACTGGGTGTGTCATTCCTGAACTCGCCCCAGGGCATAGAGGGCAACGAGAAGGCGAACCATCTCACAAAGCAAGGCGCTTTAACACCTTTTCAAGACCCAGAGCCTTTTTGTGGACTAATGAAAAAACACGTCTCTGAAGAAATGAACATATGAAGAAGGTTCATATTCATGTCAGCAGGAGATCTGAAAAACTTGACATGAACAGAAGAGACATTAGAACAGCAACAAAAAGTATAGAACACTTCTGTGATTGCCCTGCTCACTTCTGCAAAAGGCTGAAATACCTTGAAGGGGTACCGCTAACACCCCAAGAGGTGGGCACTTCACCACCCAGGAAGCCGTTCTCCTTTGGAACAAACCTATAAATCTTGGACACTAGAGCGGCTGGAATAAGCTGTAACGAATCCTAATGCAATTTACAATCTACAAAAAAACGGGAAGTAAGAATATTTGGAAATAATTTACCAAAATAGTAAACATACATCTGCTCTGGAACAGATGCATTTTGCAAGGAGTAAATGCTTCCAATTTGAAGCAAATACTCTGTTTTATTCATAAGAAAAAGAGTATTAGCTTTTTCCTGGAGAGGTTTTGCTTGAACTTTTATTCATACTGGACGAAGCATTTGCTTCAGATTTTGGGACAAAAAGCAAATGCTCTTTTTTATTCATAGGGTAGAAGGACTTTAAAAAATTTAATTTTTGTTTATTGTTTATATAGCCTTCAAGAACCTAAACTTTGGTTTGCGACCACCATTTTAAATTGAAAAATTATGAAAATGTTCTTCAAAAGAATTGCTGAAAATTGGTGGTCGAAAACCAAATTGATCTTAGTCTATTCTCGACCACCCTCCACCCTAGGAAATTGGCGGTCGAAAACCAGATCGATCTTTTTCTTTTATCGACCACCTTATAAAGATATATGAAGGAGTGACTTCTTATGTGACTTTTGAGCGGTCGAGAACCAACCCTAAAGTGGTCGAGAATTGTGACCGGTGGTCGTAAATAGAATAAAATGCACTTTTTCAACATTTATTCGATTTATTTACTAATTTGAAATAAAATCTCAAAAAATATAATTGTAAACCTATCTTAAGATGTCAAAAATTTTAAAAAATATATTTCAGTTGAAATTTGACTTAATTTTCCGGCATTTATCACATCTCAAAATCAAATTTTTTGTTAGCTGGTCGTAAACAGGCACATTCACCCTATGGTAGATAAAAGTTTTTCTGAACTGCATTTTAAAATGAAAAATAAAGTACCGTAAAACGAGGTGACTTTACAACAGCCAGGTGACTTTGTGACACATGGTAGCGGGCGCACCAAATCCTCAATAGTTCGCGCATGTCTCAACTGACAGCCTCGCGATTGCGCTCGAGGCATTACAAGAAGCGCGCGAACGAATCAGTATATCAGTTAATGTTGTGAAAGGAGGCGTCCAGCTGTGAGTGCCGGAAATATTAACAACAGGTAATTTCAATATTTTACTTTTGCTGTAAACTTTACCTTGCCCAGCTAAGACTATCTCATGTAGCCAGGAGTTGAGTTTAGGTAGTGTTCCTTGCAGTTTTGGCTATTTACTGATGAATTAACATTTCAATAATTTTTATCAACAAGCATGTGACGCCATATTTAATAAAATTTCAACAAATTGCGGGGTGAAATTGTGACACAATTTATGTGCTACTGACAAAAAATGGGGTGAGATTGTGAAATTTTTTTTTGTGCTTTTTAGCAATGCCACGAAATTACCAGAGGCAGCCAGGATCACGCCAATATAAAAATTATAGTCAAGCGAGATTGGAGGAGGCACTGCGTAGAATACGAGCGAAGGTGATTACCATACGTGATGCTGCGGAGAGGTAAGAATGTCTTCAGTAGGTAAAAAAACAATACTTCAACTTATCTCCTTTTTTTAGATATGTCATTTCCCGGAGCACGCTCTTTTTAAAACTCCATGGCAGACACAATCGTCCTCCTGGTGGTCAAACTGTGCTGACCATAGAAGAGGAGCAATCCCTTATAGCACACGCGATTACTGTATCCGTTTTTGGTTTTCCCGTGACGGCCCATGACCTGAGATTTATAGTCAAGGCATATCTAGATAAAAGGGGGAAAAAGGTGAGGTTTTTCAAAGATAATTTTCCTGGAAAGGAATGGGTTAGTTCGTTTATGAGCAGACACCACGACGTGTTAGTCAATCGAATGGCCCGCAATATCAGTGTTTCAAGAGCGGCAGTCAACCATGAAGTTATAAACAACTTCTTCGATAATCTCGAAAGGGAGCTAGATAATGTTCCGCCTAGCAACATATGGAACTATGATGAGACCAATCTTGGAGATGACCCAGGCTCAACAAAGGTTCTGATACGACGACGTACAAAGTATCCAGAGCAAATTCGTAACGCCACAAAGGCATGTACATCTCTAATGATATGTGGAAATGCAGCTGGCGAATTAGCACCTGTATACGTCGTATATAAGTCGGAGAACTCATGGCAAAGTTGGACTGAAAATGGACCAGAAAATTGTCGATACAATAGAACCAAGTCTGGATGGTTTGATTACCAATGTTTCGAAGATTGGTTTATCAATACAATGTTGCCAATACTTCGAAGAAAGGATGGTAAAAAAATATTGATTGGCGACAATTTGAGTTCACATTTGAATATCGAAGTTATTCGTCAGTGCGAACATAATAATGTATCTTTCATAGCGTTGCCGCCAAATGCTACCCACTTGGTGCAGCCTTTAGACGTGGCTTTCTTTCGGCCCATGAAAGGTAAATGTAGGGAAATCCTGCATGAGTGGAAAGACACTAATTTGGGTAGTAGATGTGGGACTATACCAAAAGATATTTTCCCTAGACTGTTGAAAAAGTT